TTTTTCCCTTTCTATTATTTTCCTCTATATCTTTGCACTGTTCATTTAAGAAGGCCCTCTTGTCTCTCCTTGCTATTCTTTGGAAGTCAATTTTCCGTATATTTCCTCATCTCCCTTGCATTTTGTCTCCCTTCTCTGCTATTTGTAAGGCCTCACTGGACAGCCAATTTTCCTTTCTTGCATTTCCTTTTCTTTGGGATGATTTTTGTTGCTGCCTCTTGTACAATGTTACGAGCCTCCATCCATAGTTCTTCAGGCACTCGGTCCACCAAATCTAGTTCGTTAAATCTGTTCTTCACTTCCACTGTGTATTCATAAGGGACTTGGTTTAGATCAGGGGTGTCCAACCTTTCACCTTCCCTGGGCCACATTAGAAGATGAAAAATTGGTTTGTTCCGCACATAAATTTGGTTTGGGCCGCATGGGGGGCAGCCCTAGCTGTCCTCCGCAGCCCCGCTCCAAGCATGCTTACTGGCAGCTGCGATCTCAGACACACAGGCGAATTCCTCAAGTGCATGAAGACATCCTTAGAGTGCATGTGGTTGAGAGAGCCATGTACAGTGGGGTCAACAGCCATTTCCTGTCTTTTCACAGGAAATGGCTGTTGATCCCACTGTATATGGCTGACAGAGCTCACTCATGACAGAGATCTGACCCTGGATATTGGGTTTTGGCCTTCTAAAGTGATCATTATGGTAAACGTTTTCTTTTCAGAATCGTTTTAAGTAATCAATATTTTGTTTTAGCTAATTTTCAAATTCTAATGGTATTTTTACTTAAATATCCTTTTTTCGCTTGATCCAAATACTATGGTTCTCTGAAAACAGTAACTAAGCAGGCTGACAGAAATGTTAAAGAAGTCCCTCTGTAATTCCGGCATTTTTCCACTTTCCTACTTGTAAATCAATGGTCAGATTTGAATAATGTTGTTACTACCGGTCACCTTGTGTGGAGGGGGGGGGGATATCACTGTGGAATAAGCCCTCCTATTCCACTAGTGATTTTTATGTAATCTTGACTAATGTCCATAATCTACCAGAAGAGAACAGGGAGCTGACAAGTGGAGCTCCTCTTAGTACTGGTTTGCTTTCAATAGTAGCTACAAAAATCAGAGCAGTAGGAGAGAGACATGACATTTTGAACATTTTAACTCTAAGAAGAGTAGCCTGCTTAGGAATCTAAAAACAGATTGTGAAATGATATATGTTAAAGTGAGAAGCAGAGAATGTTGTAGAAATAAATGCCTAGGCTGAAGAGGAAAAACAAAATAGATGTTTTTATGAAATGAGAAACAGTTGTGGGCACATAGTCAACTGGATGTTTCATTAACAATCTTGAAGATGTGCATTCTCCATTAATTAAAAAGTGTCATGTTTTATATGTAGGGTGGTGAAATCTCAGGTTGCCAGGTAAAGTCCCAGGGAACTGCTGTGCTTCTTTGGGTCTCCAGAGGCAGAGGCACATTTCATAGCGAGCGCCACATTGAGGAAAGAGACCTAGGCCTCTAAATGCTCAACATTGCTAAAGCAAAAGAGGATGTGCAAAATTATTCTCTTTGCCTTGAGAGTGGGCGATAGCTTTTTTGTATTCTTCACAAAAGAAAACAAAGATTGTTAATGGAAACTATGCAACAATGTGAAAAAAGCATTTTTAATACAAATGATGATTAACTGTGCTTTTAAAAAATTGCTGCTTTTTTCATTTATTTTGTTTTCTCTCATTTACATGTTTGCTTTTATTTTGCCAGTTCCTACTCCATTCCACAATACTACCATCATAACCGCTACTCCACCACCTATCACTAGAGTCCCTCAACCTCAAACAGGTTAGTCACACGAAAAGTTCTGTGTAAAAAGTTTCACTTGGAAAGGCTTCATTCTTCTGTACACATAACCTGGGAATATGGACTCTGAAGCTAACAGAATGTGCTTCCAAGGAAAATATAGACAGAATTGGGATGCACAATGGAAAAAAACACAAATACTCATTGAGCTGAAATGAAAGGTAGCCACTCATCTCTGTTTATAATGTTGTTGTTCTTATAAAAGTTTTTAAAACTTTCCTTTCCATTAACTGAAAAAAGATACAAAATTGGATACTGCATTCAAACATAATTCAAAAAATGAATAATTATCAATATTGCATAGACATATCATTGTTTGAATTGTGCAATATTTTATTCCATGTTTTAGTTTTGTACACAAAGCTACCTCCAATACTTTTTTCTAAATCATTCTGCAAGACTAGGTAATTCTGTTGTTCTGTGTTGTTTCTCAATAATGTTCTCAGTGCTCTTTACCAGTGAGAATGAAGTGAAATGTAAATTGATAGTTCAAGCTAATATTCATACATCTCCAACAAAAGTTAATAACTGGAAAGGTAGGTTTAGTGGGATCTGTGATCCTTCACATCTCAACTCAAACCTCTGTTAGCCCTGCACAACACAACCAAGAGTCAAAGATGATGAGAGCTGTATTCTACTATTACATATAGACTAACTTCTATAGTGTTTAAACCTTAAGCAATATAGACCATAAACTCCACAAAACTCAGATGAGACTGGACATGGTATGCATGTGACACAGCAATATACCACTCCATTTTCTTCCAGTTACTACACTGATCATGGATGACCAAGAGAAATCAATAAAAATAGGAAAGTGTATGTTCTAGTTTGCCAAGTGAAAATGACAATGTTTTCAGTGATGTTTTTACATTAGTTCTGCTTTAAAATGCTTGGCAGGTAAATGTGAACCTATTAAATACGAGGAGCGAGTGAGTTACAAGAATTGCTCTAAAACTGTTATTCTGACGCGCTGCGAAGGAATGTGTCCATCATCAGCAAAGTAAGTGGCATATTGTTCAGTCAGAAGTACTTTTGCTCTATTACTTGATGAAAAGATGAGTAAATAGTAGCCAATTTGCACCAAAGGGCTATTTCTTGAGATCAACAATGGCATTCCCCAAGGACCTGTACTGATAGTGGAGTTTCTAAATTTGCTCATAAGTTATCTGCAGTTGGGATGACAGTGAGGTCATCACATTTATTAATGACGTGAAGTTGGTTAAGGTTGGTTGAAACAGAAAGCAATTGCAAAGAACTCCAGAATAATGTCTCCAAACTGGGGGAATGGGCACTGAAATGACATTCAGCATAAGTAAGTATAAAGGGTAACAGAACAGAGTAGAACCCTTTGCACAATCAGAAGCCCCAATAAAGCAGAGGTTGTGGTTTTGTGTAGAAGCTTATACTTATGTTCAAGTGAATGTGCAAAGGAATACTCTGCAGACCTATGTCCCCAATACCCAAGGAAGTCAGGATCTTAGCAAATGGGGCCCCCTATCTCTTCATATAAATTCGTTTACCCTTTGCTGGCATAACACTTGAATACATGTAGGCTCTCACAGCTATTTGAACTAGGACATCCGCAGTGTGGATTTCTCTTCTGAATAATGCACCATCTAATTTTCAGCTCCACTGGATGGGGCTCTGCCTCTTGCATGTGCAACCTCACCCCTGCGTGTGGTTTCTATGTGCAGGATTCTGTTGCGACCAGAACCTAAATGGTTGAACACGATTGCTGTGCAGAGGAGGAAGACAGCTGCATGGAGGGAGGCAAAGTCCCACATGCACAGCTTAGAGGGAACCTTGATTCTATACTACAGTATATACTTACAAATATTACTTATATGGCATGTTTTGCTTCCTACATGAAGTGCAATTTTATCTCCAGGATGTGACATTCAAACACGGGGAGTGATTACAAGCCAAAGTACAAAGTATTGTAATGAAGGCAATCTATAAATAAAACAGAACAACTTAATTAAATAAAGTAGAATGCAATGCTTAAGTATTTTGATAGTGAACTTCTTAATGAATAATATCAGGATCTGGACATTTTGTTATTTTCATGGAAATAAATTTTATTTTTAAAAAAATCCAGGGAGTAAGGAAGCATGCACGCACACATGCACAGCGTATTTAAAGCAAGGCTATTCTCTTTTGCAGGACGAATATTGCCAAGAAGACAGTAGACACGGTGTGTGGATGCTGCGCACCACGAACAATCACCATGAAGACGGTGGAGCTGTCTTGCCTGGATTCAGATAAACCACTGATTATGGAAATCCCCTTTTTCGATGACTGCATATGCAACTATGATGGATGCACACACACTAGCCAGATCTAACAATACAAGCTGTAGAGGAATTTGTCAAAACACACAATCAGCTATGTCTGGAACTCCAACCTGCTTGTGTATATGAATGTGTACATACTTTGGCAAGGATAATCAGGGTACGCTCTCCAGAAGACTGGTACTGGTAACTGGTTGCGTTAACTTATTCATAGTTTGGGAGACTGAGAAGATGAAGAAAGTACTGCCTTTTTCAGAAGGTTTTCACCAGTCATGTTTATCTGTGTGTTATAACATAGTTATTAGTTTTAATAAAGATATTAGCTAGCCATTCTGATTTCTGATGGTGGGGACTTAATGATTATAATCCTAAATACTGATATCACTCTAGTTTTTGTATAGCACAAACAACACCACAGAGAGAGACATGGACACAGATATGTACACACACAAACACACATTATCAGTGGCCTGCAGAAGAGTATCCTCAAGGTATTTAGAACATACAGTGGCCCAAATCCTTTAGCATAGTTATTCATGCACAACTGCACCTCTGGTAGCTGTACTAACACTTAGGCAGAAGTGCTATCCACACAGCAGGTAACATACAGTGGCCCAAATCCTTTAGCATATTCATGCACAACTGCACCTCCGGTAGCTGTACTAACACTTAGACAGAAGTGCTATCCACACAGCGGGACATGCCAAGAACAGATCACCAACTGTGCAACTGAAGAGTGGAATTCCTTGTTGCTTGGTGCAATGCCCAGGACATTTGTGCCAGTGTAACTTTACCACAGTAAGTCACAGTCAGAGGAGGGCCATTTCAGTCAATGGAAATTATGGAGGAATTTACATAGCAAATCCCCATCAGTTCAATGGAACTACTTTTTAGTGTGATATACAACGTTAACCAATAGGATTTTGGCCATTGTATGCTGTGGGTATGAGAAGTCTGCCTCTGCTCCTGGTGGTTCATAATGCAATCCAGTAAGTAAAATATGTCCATTCATAAACCATTTGGAGCTCTAGTCGGAGCTCTAGTTCATGCCTGAAGAATTGTATCAGTTCCCATCAAACCATTAGCACAAAGGTAGCTGGTCTGCTGTGGCAAAGGAGGCTGTGCCCCGGCTCCAGCTCAGGCGTGCCCCCAGCCAGCACATTCCTGTATGTACCGATGCTTAAACACCAGCACCATGAAATCTAGCTGGATGCCCCAGATCCCTCATTACACTTTGTATCTACATATGAGAGTGCAAGTGATGGGGAAGGAAGAAAAAGAATGAATGGGAACAAAAAAAGTAAACTGTCCAGCTATAAAGTTAAGTCCTGGGTGGAATAGCAGTAGGTGAGAACATTTATAATTTGTAGGCAAGGTGTGTTTTTCTGTTCTCAGATGAGTTGTAAATTATCAGGGCAAGGAAAGCTATATTTGAATGAATTTCTGTCTGTCTGTCTGTCTATACATATATATACTGTACATATATATACATATACATATAGAAGGCTATATTTGAATGAATTTCTGTCTGAATTTCTGACAGACAAACAGGCAGCCAGCCAGGCAGGCAGACAGACAGACAGACAGACAGATACAGAGAGACAGAAATTCATTCAAATATAGCCTTCCTTGCCCTGATAATTTACAACTCATCTGGGAACAGAAAATATATGCTTGCTCGTCTACACATGTGCATATGTGCCCAGGTCTATATGAATACCTCTTCTAGCAGCTGCCTGTCACCCGTGGTACAGTGGAGGTTTGGCATAACAAGTCTCAACCAGAGTAGACCCATTTGAATCAGCAGAACTTACAGAGGAAGTGATTTACCAAATCTCCATTGATTCAGTGTGGCTACTCTAGTGCAATTTATTACACTCAGCACCAGGATATGGGCCAAAAGATGCTGCAAAATTTTGTATGCTCCCCCTCCTTTTTATTTTTCTTTGCCAACATTGCATACATATGGAGAGTAACACCTATGATGTACGTTAATGGGGCTAGCTGCTATGGTGGTGACCGGCTGCAAGAGATACTAAAAACAAAATGAGTCTTACAACTGCACCTGCCTCTTTTTAAGTAACAAAGCAAGCTGAGAAGCAGCTTCATGCATCCACAGATATAGAATATACTGGAAGCTATTCAAAGATGCACACCTGCTTGCTTGTTCTCTACCAAGCTGCTAAGGGAGGGAGGGAGGGTGGGGCTTGCTTGTTCTCTACCAAGCTGCTAAGGTAGGGAGGGTGGTAGGAATGAATGAATGAATCAATCAATGAATCAATCAATCAATGGGGGAGGAAGGTGAATGAATCAATCAATCAATCAATCAATGGGGGAGGAAGCAGAGGAGCCTCTGTTGCCACTGCCACCTTCTCCTCACTTTGGAAATGTCCAAGATCCAGTGGTAGCAGCCATGGCCACCACCATGGTATGGCCCTCCTTCTGCCAGATGCCAGCTGCTTCATTCTTTCATCCTTTTCCACAGCTCTTAGGGGGGAAAGAACAGAACGTCAGGCAGAGGCCACTCCTCATGGCTCCTTTGCACCTATACAGTCATATGGCACAAATTGAAGTGAAGCAAAAGGAAGTAGCCTCTGCTCTTCAATTGAAATGCACTGAAGGACCACTTAAATAGAAGAGGGTTACTTGTAATTAGGTTTATGTCATGTGGTCAAGGCACTTCAGATTGAAATAGGCAGTGACAACTCCAGCTCAGACACTGTTGTATTTTCTCATGGGATAGGGCCTTTTGTTAAAGAACTGCTGCATCCCACTCTTGCGCAATGCTTATAAATAATTAAGGCTGCAATGCTACATCTACTTACCTGGAGAGAACCATAATTGAACTCAGTGGAATTTACTTACTTACTTTCTCCAAACCTTTATTTACTTCTAAGTAAACATATAAAGGATTGTGCTCAAACTGAGATTAATCTGATCTTCACACACAAAAATTTAACAACCCATCCTTTAATCACTCGGATATAATCACAATTACTAAAAGCGTGTCTTCACAGGTAATATTCCCAAACAGGAGAAATGCAACATTCCTGGGGCAATGGTATCAAAACCTCTTGGATCAAACCCACTCCACAGACTGTGGGATCAAACCTACATCATAAAGAGGACCGATCATGGAAAGAGATTTGCAGAAGCAGCTCAGAACACTTTGGGGGAGTCTCATACCCCTGACATAGGCAGTACCTGTAAACAAAGCTTTCAGCCTACACAGACATGATCCAGTGATATTGGTTTCAACCAAACAAATATTTCTCACCAAAGTCAAGCCCAGGCTATAGTACATATGATCTTTCTCTACTCCTCTGCTCTCCGGGAGGCAATGGCTACTGTTAATTTGTGGACTTTTCTGCTTTGATTTGGAAAAAGGGTTTTCTGGATCTGACTTCCTGGACAGAGTACCTCCTGTAGCACCCACTGACGTTTGCTACCCTCTCTCCCAGAATTATTTTTAGCTTGAGCCTCTGCACAACGGGCTGGAGTGATGAAAAGGTAGAGCATGTAGATCTGTGATGAATGAATGTAGTGCATGGCTAGAGATATGTAAGGTGCACACATGTAAGAAAGGGTTTTTAAAGTAGTGATCCACAGAGGAAGTGTGTGCCTACAATTGGAGAGAAATCCAGAGGGAAATGGGGGTTCTCGGTTGTGACATTCCTATGTGTGTGGGGGATACACTTAGAAGAGTAAATGAACTTTAAAAGTATTGGGGGGGGATGTGCTCGCTTACTTTTCAACAAAATGAATGGTCTACTGGAGCAAAAATATTCCTGGATATACCTATGTGTTACACCCAGGTTCTTGGGCCGGTCATCTTTTATTTATTACTGTATTTTATTTATGTGGGGGGGAAAGGTGCAATGTTGACTGACTACACTCATTAGCAGTTATTTTGTGAATGGGCACACACACACATTCCACAACAGCAACCCACTTGGGTTGGCGTCCAGAACATTTCACAGTCTTACATAGGCTTCCCAGTCCAAAGAGTCTGGGGACTCCTGGAGATGGACCCACGCACTGTTTGCCAGATGTTGAACAGCAGTTTGATTGTGAAGTACACAAGGGTAAAAAGCCTTTTGGACATTTTGCATAGGCAATACATATTTTATTGCCTAATTTTCAGCAACATTAGTGTTTTTTTTAATGTTTCGTGGCATTTCTCATGAATGGTGTGTCTAAACATTTGATTTAAAGGGGATATGAGGTCTTATGGCACAAAAAAAATAAATAAATCTGGAAACAATTTGTTATAAGCCTCCTGTCATTAACTTACTGCCCCTGCCGAAAGGTTGAAAAATAATTAATTTCCCAACAAAACTCTGTAAGAAGCAACACACGGGGGGGGGGGATCACCAAGGGAAGTAAAAGAAATCTAGCTATGTTTGCCTTAGGTAATAAAGTTTGCATCTCACATAAACTACTGAAATTCATGCTGAAGTTGTTAAAAAGAGTGTCTACAACTGCTTAAAATATGAGTCTCCTTTTCCATCATCTCCTACCCAGTCATTGCCAGCCCCTGCTTTTGGAATTTTCTGGACAACAAATCCCCAAGAATGTATGATCCAACTCAATAGACAGGAACACCTCAGCTAGAGGCTGAGAGTTCAAATCCCCACTGTGATGGGTCAATCTAGATTATCTGGACTGTGTATCATGGATAAAGTTGTGTGCCATGTCACCTGTGTGCAGCCTTGGGCAATCTACATGTTGCCAGAGCACCTCCAAAGGGATGTAATGGTAAACTAATTTCAAGTGCTTAATCCTAAAAAGCCATGAGAGGGTCTCCATAAATCAGAAACCACAAAACACAAGTATTAATTAAGCCTTCACAAGATCTTCCTTTATGTTTTTGGATGTGAAGAAGCAGCCAAGCAAATTAAATTCATTTCATAACTTCTTGGCTCTTGGCTAAGCAGACATATAATTTGTAGCATAAAAAAACAAATGGGTTAACACACAAGGAGCTTTGATCATGCTCCTATATACTATAAAGACTATTATCCAAGCTAAAATAGATAGTTACAAACCAATGTTTTGTTACAGCTGTTAGTCTAGATCAGTGGTTCTTAACCTTGGGTTACTCAGGTGTTTTTGAACTGCAACTCCCAGAAACCCCAGCCAGCACAGCTGGTGGTGAAGGTTTCTGGGAGTTGCAGTCTAAAAACACCTGGGTAACCCAAGGTTAAGAACCACTGGTCTAGATCGGTGGTTCTCAACATTGGGTAACCCAGGTGTTCTTGGACTGCAACTCCCAGAAGTCTTCATCGTCAGCTGTGCCGCCAGTGTTTCTGGGAGTTGCAGTCCAAGAACACTATGGCTACCCAAGGTTAAGAACTGTTGGTCTAGATTCTTGTCCCCACAACATCTGGACAGGAAAGTGATTTTGGTATTTAAATTAGCCTTTTACAAAAGATAGTGTAAGTGACTTGCACTGGACATGAACAGGTTCATCTTGTTGTCACTCTTAACAAAGTGCAAAATGAAATGCATTGTTAGTTCATAAACCAAGCATGGAAAAATAACAGAAATTTTGTTCTTCTAGCCATTTATTTTTTTCAATAAAGATAACATGATTAGATCTACGTCTTTTCAAATTTTGTACAATCATAATAACGGAAGTCTACCACATAAGCTTGTGTAGTTTCTTTTTTTTTCTTTTTTACAAGTGAAATGATACACATTACATATTGGAGTGCAGGCCTAGAAGTGCAGAATATTTTGTCTTCCTGTTCTGGCATTTTTCACATGTCAATGTAACAAATACTGTACCTTGATTACTAATACTGCTTTAGCCACAGAAATGGTTCCTTCTCTTTGACATAAAGAAGGACTCACAACTCTGGTAAACAAGTTATTTATCCCAGAAAAAATAGACATCTCAGTTTTCTTCAAAACAATGCCTGCATGGCTCATATTAGAAGCGAAGTCTTTTGCATAAAGTAAGTTTAACTATATTTACAGTTTATCATTTGACTGTCTATTCAGAGTCCCCTGGCTTTGTATGGAAAAATCACATTTCTTCACAAAAACTGTACCAATGGACAGTACACAAGAAGAGTATCTCGAGGTGTCATTAAAGGACAAACAAACCATGCTTCAAGAGAGAGACTGACTTGTGTTAAAATATGAAATGGTATTTCTTCACAAGGATATCTGCTGTATAAAAACAAGCTTCAGAAGAAGCAACTGAGGGTGCAATTGTGGTAGATGAAGGTGTCTGTCGTAGTGATAATCCCTAAAATTTCCTCAGTGATAGGAGAATATAAAAGATAAACATCCTAGTTTTAATCACTTTACCATTACATGCCACCTAGGTCAATACAATGTGCTTCAGTATACTAAATCTAGCTGGAGAAATTGAAAATAAAACCCTCTTAGATTCCAATTTAATAATTTATATGTAAGAAGATGCAACACCTCTGATAGCCTAGTCCTGGATTTTTTAAAAATATATACTAACTCAAATACCAAGAAAAATTTGTGATCAGCCCAAAAAAGTTCTTAGTATTATATTTTCCCCTTAGCCTTCCTATATAATGATCATGACAAATGCATTTCTTAGAGGTGCGTGTCTGAAGTCAGTTTAAAATTAATTATATTTACATAAAAGTAATAGTCATCCTGTTGTTCCATGATATATTATGAATGCATAAATCATGTAAAGCAACAGAAGCCATGCATCATTACTGTATTTACTTAGAATAGAGCAATAAAGTCTAGAGATGATAAACAGACAGTCCAGACCAACGGACATGACACTGTATTCGCGAACAGTGTCATTCGCGGACATGACATTGTTGTTCCAAACAATAGTAACAACCATTCTTACTTGCTGTAGTCTGTAGTTAATCTGAATAAACTAGAGCATCCAGAATCCGAGCCAGCTAGCCAGTGATATGATCAATCAATTATTAAATGGAAATTCCACATTCATCATAAAAATTGGAAGCAGGCAAGCAAAATGCAAATGCATAGATTTTTGGAGGGAAAGTGTTAGCTTCTAAGAATATTTCCACGTGATTCTTTAACTATTTACAGCCCAAGAGAACAGATGTTTAGATGGATTAACTAGAGCTTTGGAAAAAACACACTGCACAAGAGAATCCAACATACTTAAACATTTGACAAGACAAGTACTCTTTGGTCATTCAAAACATGGGGGACGTGGAGGAGCAGAATTGAAAGCTCTTAAGTCAAGGTGTCTAAGGAAGTCAATGAATTATGTGCAGTAATGGGTCTCCAAATAGTCTTTAGACAGCAAATGTTCACAACCCTCTCCAGATCAAGGGACACCAGTGACAATCTGCCAGAGTAGAAACAGATGCTGCTGTCACACTCTGGAGATTTCTTCCATACACCCCTTACGAGATGAGTCATAGAAGACTGAATAACAAGAGTACATCAGCACTATGACCAGTGCAACCCTTTTTATCTAGAAACTCACTGAATTATCTTCAATTGGAAGAAAAAGTGCCAAGTGCAGCACATTCCTAACAATTTACAGTGGTATTTCAAACAAACCACATTTCACAGAACCAGTGTTAAAGGGGATTTTTTAAACAAAAACAACTTATGTCAAAGTAAATGGAGCACAGTTGACCCATACAGACCACCCCCCTTGCCTCTTCATGCCAGAAAATATATATTTTGCATAAAACAGATAGGATATTGAAAGGCAGGGATGTGAAGCTGGTGGCAGTTATTTTTGCAGACACTGGTGTATAAGATGTTTCTGGAGCTGGACAAGGACAGTGAAAAAAAATGGAAAATCAAAATTGGTCTTCCATTTTGGTTCAGAATTGTTCTGACAGCAATTCACACAACCTCCGGGATACTGTTTCTTTGCTTGTTCGTAGGGTTAATCTGTACATCTGGAAGAAAATAAACATATTTTTTTTTTCAAAATGTAAAAGCTGTTGAATCTTCAAGAAGGCAGAGTTATAAATGTACAATTTGGATGGGAGCAAACAGTGTACAATGGTGTACATGTCAGAAGCACAGTATGTGAGAGCAATATTAAAGTATCTACTTATTTTCAGATTCTTTCCTGGTTGTAAGCTTTTCTTCAGAAAACAGTGACATATATTTCTTACTACGCATGGGGCAAAAGGAAGAAAAAGAAACATGAACACAACAACAATAGAAGAGTGACTTCCTCTAATCATCACAGAAAGCTTTCTGCCCAAGGAAATGATAGAGGAAAGTGTTGGAGTTTAGGATTCACTTAGGCTATTTTTCACTAGCAGCTACTAGTGTAACTGCACAAGATTGAAATATGCTGGGAATATCCATGAATTTAATAGGCATGCCATCTTCCTGGAAGATGGCATAAGGGATGTGACAGAAGGATTGCCATCACTCATAAAACTCATATGCATATCTCTTTATTCTCATCCATGTGTGAACAAATGGCACAACCAAGTGGAACTATGAAGAAATAAGATCAGACTTTGATGTTCTTGAAAGGAAAAACAAGGATTTGGGGAGCCCAGACAGTCTTCTAATCCACCCCCCAACAGTACTCAGAATAGAAAGTTGAAAGGAAAATCTTCTGGGTGAATAACTAGCTATGAAAAGTGGTGCCAGTGTGAAGGATTTGAATTTTGTGACCACAGGCACTGTTTCCTAGAAGATGGGCTGCTAGCAAGTGATGGGTTGCACCTCAAACTGACTGGGAAAAGTGTGTTTGGACACAGCATGAAGACCATCATCAGGAGGGCTTTAAACTGCATTGGAAAGGGGAGGGAGACAAACTCAGAGGTAAAGACAGAGGCGGCTTATGCACAATAAGAGGAACAGAGCAAGCAATTACAACCAATTCTAACAAGAAAGAAAGGTGGAAGGCAGTAAAAAAGAGCAATGTGGCTTCACAAAAAAGCTCAGAGAGGAAATGGAAGGAAGGCCTGACCATACAGAAAGAGTACAGAAAGATAGCAAAGAATTGCAGGGATGGTGTTAGGAAAGCAAAAGCTGAGAATAAGCGAAGGTTAGCAAGAGATGCTAAGATCAACAAAAAAGAATTCTTCAAGTATGTATGCTGAAAACAGAAAGAAATAGTAGTGCAGCTACTCAGTGGAGATGGAAAAGTGGTAACAGACAACAAAGAAAAGGCAGAAGTGCTCAATTCTTACTTTATAGCAAAGTTGTATCCAAAAAAGAAGAGTCTATGACCCTCCAAGGCAAATGTGAAGTGCAAGTGGAGGGGACATGATTGCAGTATGAGACTGGTAAACAAATAGTCAAGGAAGACTATGAGTTCAAAACCCCAGGGCCTGATGAACTGCATCTGAGAGTACTCCCAGGACCACTATCTATTATTTTCTTGAAATTATGGAGGATGGGCGGAGTGCCGAATGACTGGAGAAGAGCTAATGTTCCTATATTGAAAAAGGAAAACTAGGAATGACAGTTTGAAAATTCAAAACAACATTTAAAAAGATCTTGATAGGTTGTTGCAGGTTTCCGGGCTGTTTGGCCGTGTTCTGGAATACGGCCAAACAGCCTGAAAAACCTACAACAGCCATCGGATCCCAGTCATGAAAACCTTCGAGGATCTTGATAGGCTTGAGCACTGGGCTGAAGACAACAGAATGAAATTTAACAAAGAGAAGTGTAAAAAAGAAACCAAATGCACAGTTACAAAATGGGAGATACTTGGCTCAGTAATACTACATATGAAAAGGATCTTGGGATTATTGTAGATCACAAGCTGAATTTGACCCAACAGCGTGATACAGCTGCAAAAAAAGGCAAAGGTCACTTTAGGCTGCATTAACAGAAATATGGTCTTCAGATCATGTGAAGTGCTAGTTCTGCTCTATTTGACACTGGTTAGGCCTCATCATGAGTAATGTATCCAGTTCTGGACTTCCAAGAAGGATGCCAACAAATTGGAACAAGTTCAGAGAAGGGCAATAAGGGTTATTAGGGAACTGGAAACCAAGTCTTATGAGTCAAGATATAAAGAACTGTGAATGCTTGGCTCTGAGAAAAGAAGACTAAGGCAATAAGGGGATAGCACTTTTAAAATACTTGAAAGATTGTCATATAGAGGAGGAGGAGCATCTGTTCTCAAGTATTCCACAGTGCAGGACACATAATAATGGACTCAAAGTACAGGAAACCAGACTTCAGTTGAATATCAGGGTAAACTTCCTAACTGTCAGAGCAACACAACAATGGAACCAATTAGCTAGGAAGGTGATGAATGCTCCAAAGCTGAAGCCATTCGAGAGAAAATTAGACAACCATGTGTCAAATATACTTGGATTCAGATTCCTGCATTAAGCATGGAGTTGGACCTTAAAAGCCCCTCTGAACTCAGCTATTCTATGATTCTATGAATGGATAAGTTAGAAAAGTACTGAGTAGAATATTTCTGCAGATGCATTTCTAGAATACGGTTTTAAAATAATGCTTTAGGCCTGCACTTATGTAGACTGAGAAGCCAGAATATTTACTTGTCCTAAAACTCCAGAATAGCTGCTGAAGACTTCATGCTGTTTTAGTTTATTGGTGTTATAAAACGTCTCCCTCCAACTACAATTTATGTTGTAACATTAGATGATTTTTGTCAGAATCACAGAGGTGTGAAACAGAAAATATATTTCATGCTCCATATACTTTTACACCTTTAGCAAGTTACCAAGGAAAGAATACCTGTGCCTGTAGGTTAGGTTCAAGACGCATCAAACAGCCAATCTGTATTGATTTTGTGTGGACGATGCCAGCTCCTACAAAATTAGCTGGGTTGGGATCCACATCTTCTAGTAAAGCTGTGCCAAAGCCAATGATCTACAAAAGGAAAGTGAAAAAGTGGCTTAAGCTGAAGATCAATGACAAAAGGAAAGAAAGAATAAGAGGCCCAGAAAAATTCAGCAATAGGCTCAATCACTATGTGTAAAAAACACTAGACAAAGCAATTATTCTTGGACTCTAGGACTTCTTGACTAAGACAGAGATATGTTCCAATGGGGATTTCTTTGATTACAGTGGCAGTGTCTGTGGAGCACTGATGCAGTGCTTGTTATGTGCTGTCAAGTCACTATGACCTATGGAGATCCATAAGCTGACAGGGTTTTCAAGGAATGTGAGATGTTACCAGAGTAATTCACCATTGCCACCCCCAGTGAGTCTCCATGGTCATTCAGGAATTTGAACCTGGATCTGAGTCCTCCTTTGACGCTCTGTCCACTACGCCTCATGCTTGACTGACTGATATGAAGCTCCTGGGAATCTGAAAAGCGGTTGTGTGAATTTTAAGAATCATCAGCTTTCATGCCTGGCTGCAGCTCATTAGGTACAACTGCTTCCGTTTACAGATAACAGACATGCAGTTGACAGTGAAAAAGATGATCCGTGCAAAACCTGGCATATGTCTGGTAACAGAGAACCAAGTCACAAACAAAAGCAAAGCGAATGTAAGAATAATGAATTTCAGAGATGGTTGTTGTGGGTTTTTCAGGCTCTTTGGCCGTGTTCTGAAGGTTGCTCTTCCTAACGTTTCGTAAGTCTCTGTGGCTGGCATCTTCAGAAGACAGGAGTTAGAACTCTGTGCTCTGGTGCAGTTTGTTATTTGTTGTGAGGCACCATTGTCTAGATGGGTGGCATACAAGACAGACAGACAGACAGAGAGATAGATAGATAGATACCGTATTTGCCGGCGTATACGACGACTTGGTGTATAAGATGACTCTCCCCAACATTTCCACTCAAAATACAGTGTTTGTATATGGCAGCTCGCCAGCCATCGCCCACCGGAGAGCGAGAGAGACCCTGTCTTGCAGCATCCCTGGCAGACCCTCCTGCTCCCCTGGCCCCGGCATGGCTTGCCCACCTTCGATGGAGATGATGTGCTCGCAGATCTGGCTCTGGAGTGCCAGGTCCTCCACACACTCGATCAGGTCATAGATGGTGTAGATGTTGGGGTGCACCGACTCGAAGCGCCCTATCTCTGCCCGGGCCCGCCCTGGAAGTTCATGGCCAGCGACGAGGCCCGAGGAGGGCAAGGAGGAGGGGAAGCAGCCGGGCGGGCAGTGGAGGACGAGGATGAGGGGAAGCGGCTCTCTGGCAGTGGGCGGGCAAGTGGGCAGCTGGCTCAGTGGGATGGCGGGCAGCCCGGCGGTGGGCTCTGGCTGCTCAGGCATGGCCGGCTCTGCTTCCCTCCCTCCGTCCGGACCAACCGCCTACCTGCCTGCCTCCCTCCCCGGATGGCGCGGCCCTGTTCTCCGGCTGGCGCGGCCCCACGTCACTCACTCAATGGTGGCAGCAGCTGCTTCCTGGCCCAAATGAAGTGCACCCAGCGTACAAGACAACCCCCCCCCCCCACTTGGAGGCATGTTTTTCAGGGCAAAAAAAGTCATCTTATACGCTGGCAAATTAGATAGACAGACAGACAGACAGACAGACAGACAGACAGACAGATCGATCCCGGCTGTGAAAGCCTTCGCAAATACAATTTCAGAGATCATCAGAAAGTGCAGAAAGCGGGGAGGCCTTGTTTTGAACACATTTTCAGTAGTAAAAAGCCAATTGTGAAGCAGTTATCCCATCTCCCCAAACTGCTAGATCTGCTGTATTATGAAGCTCAGTAACTTTATTTAAAATTTTTAAAAGATATATTTTGGATAACATGATGAAATGCCATTTCTCCATTATTAAACATCTTGCTATTAACCTTCTGCACATTAATTAACGTACGAGAACTCTCCCAAAGTCAGAAGAAGGGAGACAAGGATACACACACTGAGATGCTAGAGCTGCTCAGGACTTAGGAAGCTGCATATAATTAACATGGGTGGAGGAGAGCGCTTTAGCCCATCTACCTCTGCTCCCAGTTCTGTCACCCTCTTACACAGGGAGAGTGGTAAATCTGGAGATGCTCTCCTATGTGTGGATGCTGAGTTGGGACCGTGTGATCTTCCAGGGTCCTGATGCACAGGCAATGCAACCGCAAACAACTAAGCTATCACTCACTGTCCCCTCACATGCAACAGAGTGATGAAACTAAAGATGGCAGGTTGAGGGCAAGAAATGGTGTGTGTATCTCAGTAGGCCTGACATCAGTTGTGTTTGTCACAATGTTCATAACTAACAATGTCATCTAAGACAAATGGTTATCCATCTTTACAGAATGCAGCTTGGCTATCACTTCCTACACTCTAGACATGTATGAAGGGACCCCTCCCCAATGACATTGTGGAAACATGGCTGCTCTGTCCAGCCTGCATTCCCTTTATGCTGCATACCCTGTCCCCTGACACCTGCTTATTAAGCAGTTTCCCACTGGGAGAAAAGTGTACATTTGTAGTCACCTTCGTGCACATAGGCTTCTACAGTCAGACATTCACATCTAAAGGACAGGCATCAAGAACACAGTTGGAGGAACCTGTGATTCTGTAGGCGAGGCCTCTGGCAGCCCTGCAATCCAGGAATCATGATAGTTCCTTCACAGATAAAGGTCATTATCAGACCATATATGTAGAGAAAAATAGCAGAGTCTCTGTCTTCATTTATAGCTATGTGAAAAGTGCTTCTTGGCCCTTTGTAAGGCCATTCTCTAGCACCAGGAATCAGGAGGCACTTTACAATTTTTTAAAAAATGTTTGTGTTGTTAAACAAAAGTATACTGTACCCACCAAAAGGAGTGTGGGCCAAACAAAATAATACACAGTGACTGATTCACAGATGCAAGTTTTCATTTGCATGAAGAAACAACATAAGAATCAGACAAATGTCTAATTTTTGAGAGGAAAGAAGTCCAACAATCCAAAGTCATTCCTCCAGTGTGCCATATAATGTGTAAGTGGGCCATGGAGTGATGAGTATTTGTTTGAAAATAGAATAGATGGAGTCCCCACAGCAGCAAATGCATCTCTTTGTCACTCCCTCTTTGCTGCTCTCACTGTATAGGTCACTCTCTTTGATGCAATGGACCAGACTCTACCGAGCCAGTTACACATACTACAATTGTCTAATATTTTCCAATGCTGACCTGAGCAAATTTCAAGGCATGCAGCACTCAGTAGAAGGGAAATCACATTTTTGTGGAACAACTATCCATTATTGCCAGAAAAGATGGAAAGCAGTACCAGTTTGTTACATATAGGCTCACCTGTCATCCACATTGTGTATCATTATTTTTAATTCATTTTGAGAAGTGTGTGTGTGTGTGTGGGGGGGTGAGATGCGGCTAAATTCTGTAAACTTGCAAGGATAGGGGAACTTCCCTTTGAAATGAGCAACAGCAGAGACTTCCACCATCACTTCTGTTTCTAAGATGTTGCTTGGGGCAGGGGGAGACATTTTTTCCTTCCATGGTGTTGCCAGAAGTATACTATGTTGTCATGTTGCATCCTTGTGCAAGGAGGCATTATGAGGAAGCATGGCACCAGATACCTCCAGGAGTGCCACCAAGACAGAAATAAAGTGGGGGAAAAGAAATCTTTATCACTCGTTCTTAATGCAAACCTTTCTCACCTCTAAATAATTCAGCAGTTAAATTCAGAGTTTCTTCACAATTTTTCATTCCCCATCTCACTCTTTCAAATGTGACAAAAGCATTCAATTTGGAACATTAAGGTTTACTCCATTATTTGTTTCAATGCTGCCTTTAGGGTGCTTTATTTTGACCACTTAAGTATTAAATATTCTGGTGAGCCATCTTCGGCAATATAACACTAAAAGCCAGAGTTTTCTAAAAAAAAACACAAATAGTTATACCTACCTTTGCTTTTGTAATTTCTGTATCCATTGGATGTTTTGCTTTAAATATGTTCTGCATTTCTTGTTGGGGGCTGTGTATGAACAACAAGGTCACAGAAATTAAAATTTACAGCACACACAATTTGGACAGTTATGTGCCATTTTACATGGAAAACTGGACTTCTAGATGGTTTGGAACTCATCTTTAAGGAAGTCCTAGCCAGTATGGCTGTGATCAAAGCCAAAATGAAATTTAGCACAAAATATTAGGAGGCTGGTGCCTAAGCCATGGTCTATAGAAGGGGTGGGCAACATGTTTTTTTTTTTAAATTGAGTGGGAACATATTTTGGGTTCAGAAGCTCTAGAGGACAGGCAGCAATTTAATGCTTTAAAGGGCCCCCCACTGCTAGGGTTCCCATCAATTGGAAAACCAAAAATGTCTTGTAATTTTTTTAAAAAAAATATACCCATGTAGGAGAAGGAGTCAGGGGAGTGGCCCTTCAAAGTCTAGGGAGGAGTGTGTGCCAGCATCTGAACCTCTGGAGTTTGCCTTCCTCTACTCTAGAGGGTAAGCCTGGGCTCCTTTTTTCCTCACAAGAGCAAATGCTAAACCAATCATAGAATCACAGAAAAGTGAAGTTGGAAGGGGCCTACAAGGCCATCAAGTCCAACCCCTTGCTCAATGCAGGAATACAATGAATTAGCAGCCCATGTTGCTCCTCCCTCTGTGCTTCAGGTAGGCTGCCCATCTTGTTAAATGTACTGGCATCACCCTTTTTTTAAATTGGTCTCTTGAACCTCCACATTACAGCAGAATTCATAACATCTACACTGGGTCTCTAGGTGCAGGTCTTGTGATGCTGCTTTCTTACTTGTGAAATTTTGAGTAGTCTGCAGCAAGGGCATCCAAGGACCACCTGCACTCATAAAATCCTGTCCTCTGACATTACCTCTAATTTTCAGCCCCGCTAGGTGGGGCTTTGCCCCTCTCACGTGCAACTTCGGCCCCCTCAGTGGGGTTCTGTCACAACCAAAACCAAAGGGGCTAAAAACTATGGCTGTGGGTGCACAGAAGATGAGAAGCCCTGCACGGGGGTGGGGGGGGGGAGACAAGAGTCATGAAGGTGCGTACCTCAGAGGAAAACTTGCTGTCCACTCATTGAGTTTCAAAGCCTTGCCTTGCCATCTTATTATTCCCAGAAGCACAACTAGGTGGGATGTAAAAAGCAGCTATTGCAGCACACCACTCTCCTTAGAGATGTGTAAACAGCTTCATCTCTTTAAATGTCAGGCGTGTTGCTAAAACCTTAACATTTTGCCGGATTCAATGAGTTTTAGAATTTAGATTTGTTTTAGGCCAACTCTAAACTCTGAATCACATTGAACAAGATATTACTTTTAGTGCCTCTTAGTTTTCTTACCTTATTTATTGCTTTTATGTCCTTCAGTGAATCTTCTGAGACATTTGATATTTGTTTATAAGGAAAAGTGAAAAAAAATCTAAATAAACAAACTAGTGTTGTTACATATAACTTTTATTGGTTCCTCCCTCATATCCTTATTCCATCTTTCACAGGCATTTGTACATGAATATCCTATAGCAACTTGGCCATTATAACCTTTGTGTTTGGGTATACCCTTTTGGAAGCTCAAGTAAAGGACAAGCTCCAGACAAAAGAATATTGTCTGGAAAAAAAAGAGGTAGGTCATGAAGAGTCTGAACCATCTCACCTGCTCAGCTGTTTCCACCTCTGGAAGAAATCCTGAGAGTTCATTTCTGTAGGCTGGAAAAATTTGTTCAGTGTAATAGGCAGCTTTACAGATACGTTTTGCAATGTCCCTCCATATCTGAAAATGGCAAGACATAATGATTTAAATGAAAGGTATTCTGGCTATTAAAAAACAGCATCTATTTTTTTTAAAAAAAATCATTAACAGCTGAAATATTGATGAATCAGAATTCATCCAAAATACCACTTTCGCTCTTCAGAAGATAGGCTTATTTAAATGAATTCATATAAAGTTCAAAATTATGAGTGATACCTGAACTGAATATTGAGGAATGGAGCTTCCATGAAGTCTGATAAGCATTCAATGTTTACAATTTGCTGCACTTGAGCACCTCCTTCCACAGTGGGATCAACTGGTTTTGTCTGCAGATTCAGGCGTGACAGGTTAAGGAACCAAGCTCTTTGAACCATGCCAACATGGTGAAGTGCTGCCAGATTATTTATTTTCACACAACAGAAATTACTACATGAACTTGCTGAAGGCCAAACAAGAACCAGTATTAATTGCAATTGTGTCAATTGAAAGGTACAGAGAAGAAAAGTTTAATTACTCCCTGTACTTTCCACAGTTATGCCAAATAATAATAATTTAAAAATTACAATATTCCCCTTGATAAATCCTGCTGTTTGCTAGGAGTGGAGATTCCACTGGCTCCAGTACAGAAATCCTTCTAGATACAAATGGAAGTTTTGGGTAGAGAGGGCTGTTGTGGTCAAATGTTGACACTTGAACAAAAGTTCTCAGAGCACTGTAAAATTTATAACACCCTCAATAGTTTAAGTCTGTTGTGGTCTATCACAACTAACATTTTTCTCTATTAAGGGGTTAATTCCAGTGTGAAATCAGTCATATCAAAATTCATCTCGGTATCAAGGTTGCTTTATTGTTTAAATACTCCATCTCTCTTCAAAGTATGAGAATACTGTTCTGTGCATAAGCACATCTTGTGCTTTTCATTTTTTTTGGTTCCAGTTCTGCTTAGGCCTCCTCGGGGCTACAATTTATATAAGAAAAAAAATCTTATCACTTTGGTTAGTCTTGAAAAAACCAAAACTTCAGAACATGTGCACAGCACATAGTATTTCAAGCTAACCCTTAATATTAGAGCCTATTTATTATTGTTGCACAGATGTGTAGCAACAGATATTGTGTGACGGCCCATTTCAACATTCCACCAGGCAATTCAAAAACTAGATGGCCCCCAGACAAAAAGTATAACTTTGAAACAGCACCAAATTTGGCACAGCTAGTCTGCTCTTGAAGAGGATACCCTCTTCTGCTCACTATCATTCACACTTGTTGAAGAACAGCCCTGACAATTGTTTTGTATTTGGGTGAGGTGATTAACTGATGAAAAAAGGAGTCTGCTTTCGGGTTATTCCCTTGCATGGTGTCACTTTGTGGTGGTGAACACAAGAATCCTGTATCCTGTAGACCCATCTTCACTGCTGCCATTGGTGTTGCCAATATTCAGGCTGCTCTTTGCTATCTAAAGTTTGGCATCCCTTTTTCTGCTGCCAACATGGGCATGATATTGTGCAACAACATTGGGCCATTTCCAGGCTTTTTGAATCATGGGTACAGAAGCACATGATCCCACATTCATGAGCAGGTTTTGTTTTGTTTTTAAAGAAAAACTGAAAATAACATAACACAACATTATATGATATAATATGGGATTATGGTCGTTGTTGTTTAGTCGTTTAGTCATGTCTGACTCTTCGTGACACCATGGACCAGAGCACGCCAGGCGTGCCTATCTTCCACTGCCTCCCAGAGTTGTGTCAAATTCATGTTGGTTGTTTCGATGACACTGTCCAACCATCTCATCCTCTGTTGTCCCCTTCTCCTCTTGCTTTCACACCTTCCTAACATCAAGGTCTTTTCCAAGGAGTCTTCTCTTCTCATGATATGGTATTATAGCTATATGTAATTCCAAAACCACTTTCCCACTTTGGGTGGGTAAAATGCTAGCTGAATATTTACAAAGAAAAAAAGATCTGCAGTAGGAAGGACATAAGACAACCAAATCAAGGAATACTACAATTGCAATCAGCTCCTCATAAAGAGGAGGCACATTCTTTCTTCAAGCCAGAGAGGAAAAAAACTTATTTGCCTTCCCAGCAAGGTTATCTGAAAACACCATTCTCTTTAGTAAGTTCAACCCAGAAATATAATGAGCAACCTGACTCATTAATCTCTGGATTCTGTACTCTCCTGGGGTCCCTGCTGGCATGTAAAATACCTCCCTCTTATTAGGAAAGTCAAGTAGCAAAGGATATTTAACTGAAGATCATCTGAGCAGATTAGTGTTGGAGTAAAGTTTAAAAACTGTGTTGATGTCTTGTTACCATAAAATATGAACATCCGACCTGGAAAAAAAAGAGAGGTAAAAACAGTTTGATTATATAACACACATTACTATAATAACCTTATCAGAAATTGCCTGAAGTATAATGCATGCATTTCACTTCCAGGCTGATTATATGCTGTATATCTAGGAATTTTATATATATTCTAGATACACAGTTAAGGAACAGCAGAAACCTGAAAAACATTTAAAAGATGGGTCTTTTAAAGAACTATATACTTATCCTGAAAAGAAAGTCAAAACATAATTTTTAATATGTCCACTATTATTGTTGCTATTTATGTAAAACTATCAATACAATCAATGTTCACAAAACTTTATTTTTAAAGGGGCCTCTTTCCAGCTCTTGTGATGCACAGTCTGATACAGAAGAGTTAGCGAACGGGCAAGGGAAATGAGAATATGGATGATTTTAGTTAGACATACTTAGGTTTTGTTATGGTGACTAGTGGTCTGTGCTAAGACCTTTGTGGAAAAAACTAGATTCTGAGGGATTACTGGAATGGGAAGGACCATCACATCGAGGCATTCCAAGCATATGAAGCAGGCTGAGGATGGTGGCATTGGACGAGGAGGAGCGAAATGGTATCAGAACTGAAAGATGGTGAGGGTGGGCAAGGCCATGGTGGAATTTTAAGACAAGGACAGAGGAGCTGCTTTGAATCTGAAAACAGATTGGAAGGTGGTGGTTAGTTTTCAGGGCACCACAGGATCAGAATGACAAGAGAATTAATGCCCTTCACAACAGAAACAAGATGCAAAATAGAATACCAGAGGGATTGATTATAAGCATCAAGAGATAGCTAAATATGCTATACGGTTTTTTTAAAGTAACACAAAGAAAACAAAAAGTTTTGTCTTAAAACAAGGAAATAAATAACAAAAAAAGCGTATTACGGCCTCTGTCATTCTTACCCAAGTTCTGACGAAATTCAGATTTCAGACCAATCTGTAGCAACTGATTCTCAAATAAGACTCCATTGTTTTTGCAAATGAACCTAAGGAGGAGTAACCACACTATAGGGATTGTATTTTGATACATTACATTTAGTTACCAAATTCTGCAGTGCTGCCTCAAGAAGGGATGAGTACAGGCATATGAACCCCCAAAGATGTTAGAAGAAAGTCTAAAAAGAACAGACTACAAAATTAAGATCAAGCTGTAGGCCAGCCAATCACTTAAAGTATGCACTCTGTTTTTCATACATTCAGAGTTGCCTTTAACAAATGACACATTAAGAAGCTGTGTGGCACATGTAAGATACATCTTTTGAAGACTGGTCAATGGATAAATTCTTCAAAATGAATACAGAAGGACTGGCGTTGGCCACTAATGAATCAAGACATGATAAAATACCCAAATAGTGATTCTAGAGGAAAAGTGCCACGTGGCCCTAAGTGAATAACTTTGTGTGAGAAACTCTACCCACCATCTAGGATCACATTATGAATACTCTTTTTTTCATCCACAGTTAAAAGAGCTCCCCACCTTTTGCTTGTCTCTCATGGCCCACCTGACTTTGAATCATATAACTTGATGAAGTGAAAAATAATTGCTGGGCGCACATTTTATCACATCTGCGATGAGACAGGCTCGCTTGCTCTGACCCCAGTACTAACAAGCAATTCATTTGAGATACTGTGGTCAGAATCCTCTTGGTGTTCATGTAAAGTTCGCATAACTTGCCTAAATGACAAGGTGCCAGGGGGTGTTCATGTAAAGTTTGCATAACTTGCCTAACTGACAAGGTGCCAGGATGCATCTCACAACTGGCCATGTAGCCAGACACCAATCAAGAAGTGCCTTGGCACCTCACCCATTAACCCCAAATAGCAGCAGCCAGTAACACGGACCTTAGGCGAACACCAATTAGATTTCAGTCTCTGTTTTATAAAGAAGCAAATGCTGTAGCAGCTGCCCATTCCTGCAAGGTTTTGGTGTTGCTTACTTGTGAAAAAGCTCATCGGCATCATGCACAGCATCAGATGGTTCCTCAGAAACTACCTGCTCACTTGAAGCCAGGTCAGGACTAAAAAGGAGAAGCAGGAAGAAAGCAGGCAGCACAGAAGGAGAGAGGAGGGAGTTAGTCAGCAGAAAAATGGGGTGGGTGAGTGGTTGGGAATAATTCTATCCTCCTTTTCTATTAAAGATGCAATTAATACCAGCCAATATATGCTGTACCTATCATTAAACTCCCTTCCCCCTGCCATATATAATACCCTCCCAAACAACAGAGCACAAAGAAATTCAGGTGACAGATCTACTTTATATGACACCAACCTCCTGCCAGCAAGGTTACCTATTCATAGCAAATTGTTTTGCCCCCCCCCCAGTGTCCATTTTCTTGCAGCACTGCCCAGTCACCCCGGATTACTGAAAGGTATTCGAAATGTATTGTCCTTATTTATTCAGATATCCTCAGGTGTTCAAAAGTCCTCAGGCATTTAAAGAGTCAATGCAGACTTGTAGGGCAAGTGCAAAAAAGTCAGCAGATACTTCCCAAATTCCTCTGTGGGCCAGTACCTGGGCTACTATTACACAGAGGGTGTGTAATTAAAGCAGTATTTCCCATTCTTTTTTGAGCTGTGGCCCCCTTCTATCACAGCCAAGACACCTGTGATCCCCACCACTTTTGCATAAAAGGTTTGTTTTTTAAACTGGGTAAAGAAAACCAATTAAAAATAGATATTTCAGAATATAATTCCATCCTATTTTAATGTGATGGCTGTACTTGCATCCGGGCAATAAATAAGTGTTAATAACCTTGTACTGAAATTTCCTATAAAATAACTGCAACTAAAATAACCTGCAGTGACTCCCAGCTCATGGAAAACACTTTGTGACCCCCTTAGGGGTCATGACCCTCAAGTTGGGAACCCATGAATTAGAGGATTAAAGAGAGAAAGAAAGACAGATGTCAGGTTGTGAGTAGGAAGAAATGTTAGACAGGATCTTCATCAGGCTACTCTTCTAAGAAAGCTTGTGTTTGAACAGCAATTGCGAATCCATCTTATTACAACTATTTCATATTATCTGGCACATTCAACCTTTGGCCCAGTCAGAATGCAAGCTAATTGGACACCATCCATGTGAATACAGTGGTACCTCGCTAGACGATTACCCCACAAAACGACGAATCTGCATGACAACGAGGTTTTGCGATCGCCATTGCGCTTCGCAAAACAGTGTTTCCTATGGGTGATTTTCACTATAAGATGTTTCGGTCCGTGCTTCGCAAGATTTTTTTGTTTTTTGGACCGATGCTTTGCTCCGCAAAATGGCTTCCCTATGGGCAATCTTTGAAAAACAACGACCCTATTGGCACACATTAAACGGATTTCAATGCATTCCAATGGGGAAACGCTTTTCGCAAGACGAAGTTTTTGCTAAACAGCGATTTCAATGGAACGGATTAACATCGTCTTGCGGTGCACCACTGTAGTTATAAAATTAACCCAGTCTTATGTGCTGAAGCTTAAATGGCATTTAACTTTAAAACCAAGTTTTCGAACAATGGGAAAAAATACTGTTGCTAACAAACCCAAAATATATTCCATGTTTTCATAATTCATACTTTTTAAAAGTAGTTTTTAATTAGAAATTCTGATTAACTCATATCTTTTTATTTCAGTACATAAAAGTATCCTAGGATCAGCTAGTAATTGACGGATCAAACCTAGCCCTCCATATACATTTATCTTGTTCTACACTCCTAGCAAATTTGAAAATAAAGGCATGACAAAGATATATCTATCCACACAGTTTCAATCCCATGAAGAAAAAAGTTTTCCTTTTACAGGGATGATGTTCAATATTTTGTGGGTAATCAGAACAGAACACTGAGTTACACTGTAACATTTCTATAATATGTCAAATACCTTCATGTAAATAAAGCGATGCCTGAATGCATATGCTCTTTAATGAAAAAGTTCATGTGCCAAAAAAAAGATGATTAGAGAGCTATGCTATACTGCATAGCAAGGGACATTCCAGTGGCTCCCATCAAATGACCAATTCAACTCCAGGGAAAATTCATGCAAAAGAAATTTAAGGTTGCATACCAAGTCTTTGCTCTCCTATTGAAAAGTGAAAGAATTATATTAGATAGTGGATTTAGGGAGAGTATGGGGTAGGAGGCATTCATTCATTCCGTACCTTGCAAAGTTGTCTTCAGAACCTGGAGCAAGAGATGCAGGAGCTGCAGACGTGTCTGAAAACACATCCACCAGTAGGCTACCACTAGATGTCGGAGGCGGGACAGAGTTTGTGACTGGGGCTGCACCAAGACCCAGAAGATCTGCTGAAGGAGAAGGAGTAGACTGCAGGAGACAAAAGGAATGTTTTACAATTAAACATAACTGCTAAGATGATATAACTTCAGTCAAGCACTCTGCTGACCTATTCCATGCAAGATGGAGTTTTTATTGTTAAGAAAAATTATGTAGTACATTACCGTGAGTTTTTTTAAAATTTATCATTAATATTCTGCTTTACAGTTCACAAACTGGTCGTCCCTAAGAACTTGCAAACTATAAAAAGCATGCCAACCCCCACCCCATTCCAAATGCATAAGACATAGAAACTGCAATACACGGGCAAACAGGTACCGCAGATACAAGACTAAAGATAAATTGTATTCTCGAAGGCTTTCATGGCCAGAATCCGATGGTTGTTTTAGGTTCTTTGGGGCTGTTTGGCTGTGGTCCAGAAAATGGCCAAACAGCCCGAAAAACCTACAAAAAACATCAGAAAGATAAATTGTTGAGTGAGTCTTGACCATAGACCAGTTCAAATAAAGTCACTTAGAAGGACACAATTTACTGTGTCTACTCACAGGCCACTCCTGGGTACAGTGGTGCCTTGCTTAACGAGCGCCCCGTTTAACGATGAATCCGCATAGCGATGGAG